TGGAACCCCCTTCTTTTTTGCGGGCGAAGCCGCAACAGGTGCCCTTGTTTCAAATACAACGCATTATGGGTCCCTTTTTTTTTTTCTTTTTTTTTTTTTTGAAAAAGGGCCCAGTGCCCAAGGCTTATATTATCAGAGAAAACAGAACGCATACGTGTTCTATAATTCTACTCTTTTTTTTTTTTTCAAATTTGAAAACGCGAATACAACGCATATGCGTTATGTTCGGGGGAAAGAGGTAGAATTAAATCCTTGGGGTTGGGTCGGTGCTGGCCATCAGAACCAATGGACTTGGCTAGAGGTAAAGAGTGGGCTTTCCTGAGATGACATGGGGTCGGTCCTTCAGTTTCAACAACAGATCGGAAGGTAATAGCTCTTTCTTGTATTCCAAGTGTAGCAAAAAGTGCAAACATGGAAGGAGAGTAAAAGTTCTTTCCTCCGGTCGTGTCCTATACATGCTACACACGGACTAGTTGTGGCTTTCAAATATCTGTGCCCCCCTCCTTGAAATGGAATACTACTCGATGACATTGATCGAACACGTGACGATGACTGGGTTCTCCTGGATCTCTCCACCACAGGTGTGCGTAGAAGAAGCTGGTGTAGACACAACTTCAGTGTTCAACGGCGGATGCAATGGATTGAAAATTTGAAACACAAACAAGTTGAGAATAGAGTCCCAAGTTTTTTTTCCCCCAAAAGGGGTCAGCCTCTTACTCTAGAGTATAGAGTCTAAACCACCAGTACTTCCAAGGCACTTACTCTGCAGGGCTGGAAATGCTCTGCCCTGCCAAAAAAAAACGGAACTGGTGTGGGTCTTCCTTTTGCCTCAGTGATGAGGCCAGCCATTTTGCCCCGGAGGCCGAGCCCCAAAAAGTTGCGGCAGCATGCTAGCCGCTACTTTGAAAAAATGGCTGGGAAATGTACTGGTGGTTTAAGAAGCTTGTTGGCAAGAGGTGCTAGTGGTGTCTGCTCTTATCAGCACCACTAGCACTAGCGCTGGAGGGGTTGTTGTAAAAAAAAAAAAAAAAAGAACGAGGTGCTAGTCAGTCATTAACCAATTACTGACATCTATATTGGGGCCATGTGGATTGCATTTTCTTTTGCCTTTTTCCTTCTTTTCCCTTGTGGATTGCAACCTTCACATTGTTAGGAATTGGAAAACCTTTACTTGAGTGATGGAGTCAGTCGGAGTGCGCAACTCTGGAATGAGCAAAGGCGGATGATCTTGAGAGCAGCTCTCAGGGAGCACTTGCTACCAATCATGGAGAAGGAGATGCGAGCGGTAAGTATCGATCCAGGACTTCGAATTTGGGAAGCCTTTGGAATCCCTGACCCCCTGATCTTCCACTGGAAAAAATAATAATAATAATGATGGAAAAGAGTGCCAACAAGAAAGCAAAGGGAAAAAAAAAAGAAAAAAAAAAAGCCAAAGAAAACATGCAAGCAAAAGTTGAAAAAACAAGAACCACCACAAAACCACAACAAAAACATTAGAACACAATTCAACAAGTGCTATGACCACCTGGCTATCTGGGTGGGGAATGGACCACGGGAGGTCACCAGCCTGGGGTTCTGTGACCCGGGTCGGAGAGTGGCCATCAGAGTAGACTGAGACGGTGGGGTCTCGGGGGGGCCGTTTTTAGGCCCCAGGATAGGGTAGGGCAACATTAGGGGGGATAGGGGGGAGGGATAATAGGGGAATTTATGGTTCAGATAGTGTGGTTAGTACATAGCAGGTTGGGGATGGACTGTTCAGTGGGTGTAGTGGGATTGGTTAAACCACCAGTACCTCGTCCAGCTATCAAGTCCGAGCCTCGGCTGACCGGTACGCCGATCCGTGCCGACGCTCGGACTACCCGGCGCAGGCACCTCGAACGTGCAGAACGTGAACAACGGAAAAGACGGGGAAAAAAAACGAAAAAAAAACAAAGAAATAAGAAAAAAGATCCAAACGTGCAAAAGGTACACAGCAAAGAAAACGGGAAAAAAAAGACAAAAAAAAACAAAGAAATAGGAAAAACGACCGTTCTCTTCTTGCTATCGTTTTGAAAAACGAAATGGGAATGCATCTTCCCGCTTTCGCGAGAACATGCATTCCCGTTTCGTTTCTTTGTGTATGTGTGTGTGTGTGTGTGTGTGTGTGTGTGTGTGTGTGTGTGTGTGTGTGTGTGAGAGAGAGAGAGAGAGAGAGAGAGAGAGAGAG